TACACACACACGCACGCACGCACGCACGCACGCACGCACGCACGCACGCACGCACGCACGCACGCACGCACGCACGCACGCACGTACTCGCTTGTACGTACATATACACATACACACGTATGCGCGTGTGCGCGCGCTCGCACACACACACACGCACGCACGCATATATATTTAATACGTAATTTTTTCATTTCTTGTAGGCTACATCTCAACAATTTCTTACGTTTCTTCAGCGACAAATGTAAAAATATGCTCAAAAATGAAATATTTTGTGAAGGTAAGTTTTATCAATGATAAAAATAATTGTATAATATTTACGAGTTTATATTAAATTTAAAGTAAAACATTAATACATGAATTGTATTTCTTTTGCAGAAAGTTACAGTCATATTTCTATGTCTGATGAAGAACATGATCATGTGCATTCTGAAACAGAAACCGAAACACACATTACAGATAAAAACATTAATATAAAAAGGAAAACATTTTTACGAGATTTAACAAATGTAAAAGAAAGGAATAATTCACGCATAAATAGCTATAAAAGGAAACAAGATCAATTAATCACTGATGATGGTAAATAAACAAATTGTAATTACATTTGCTAGCATCACATTTTTTAAATATTGTAAACTTTTATAAATTTACTTTTATTACATTATAAAATACTGAATACTATTATATATAAGTTGATAATAATTTTATTTTTTTAACAATAAAAATATTGTAAACTTTTATAAATTTACTTTTATTACATTATAAAATACTGAATACTATTATATATAAGTTGATAATAATTTTATTTTTTTAACAATAAAAATTTGAAGTATATTATAACACAATTATATATATTAATTTTTTTTGTATATTGTTATCTTATTGTATTATATTATAATTTATATTTTGCAATTATATTTTTGTATACCGAAAATTTTAACACAGAATGGATGCACAAAAACATACCAAAACATAATGATGACATTCAAAAATTACCAGAATTATATGTGGTAGTACGAAAAATAGATGAAACATTAAAGGAAGGGACTAACAAAAAAGATGAATCATCAAAAAAACGCTATAATAGAATTTAATTTCAGTAAAGTGATTTTACTACAATATTTTGCTACAGTCAAGGTAAAATAAAATAACACATTCAAGAAAACTTTAATATACATTGTGATACGTACAATATTTTTTTTCTCTTAAAGATCGTTGATATGAGAAATGCTCAAAGATGAAAAGTTTTATTTAAATGACAACACCAATTTTACAGAAGATATTCCGTTCTACGCTGTAAACTGGAATCTGGAGGATAAAAGTACCAAAAAAACATTTACAGATAATTTTACGATGTCTTGACAACGAGCGCACACATGCCTTCATTCCTTGCGGTCATCTTATTGTTTCGAAAGCATTAAACGTTTAGAAGCTGACCGATGTCCGATATGTAACGTAACCTTATGATAACCTTATTCGAGTTAGAAAACCATAAGATTTACTAATGATATAAGTGATATTTTTTTCGTAACAGCAGAATGGTCTTTAAAATTATCCAGATATTAAATGCAATAGTAAAACTTAACACGAATATGGCTAATAGTGTCACTAAGCTCGTGTCGTTTAATGCTCTTGTCGTCTAACGCTTTTCACTCTTGTTATAGCTATTGTGATGTAACTGTCGACTAAATTTAATATAAAGACAAACTTGTTTCACGTTAGAGTTAAGTTACATTTTTGCAATATATTACATTTGTAAAGGATATTTCAAATATCTTCTTATGTAAGTTGGTTATCTTCTTACGGGCGAAATTATGAGTTATGTTTGAATGATTTCATAATGAAATTATGAAATTATGAGTTATGCAAAATAAGTTTAAGTTCCTAGAATAGATATTCGTACAGAAAGTATATAAAGACAAAAAAAATGTAAAAAAAATATTACTTTAACAACTTTAATTCACTACTACTACTGACTACTGTAGTTAAAATATTTGTTTTATTTAATTGACTCTAAGCTATAATTGGCTTACAACTATCTATTTTTCAATTACATTCGAGAATATAAATATTAATTTTTAAAAGAGATGATTATAAAAATCAATCTTTTGTTATCAATATATTTAAATCTTATTCTATCAAGTTTTTACGTTGTGTACAAGTATACGTTATGCTAAAGATAACAAGTTAACAATTTATTTATATATTGTTACATGTAGTGTGCGATTCCATTTTATAATTATGTAAAGTTTTGAGATATCAAGATAAAATATTAAATATTATTTTTGTAATAGGTAATAAATATAATTCAAAACAGTTTTTACTTTGTACGTTAAATCAAAGATAAATTTGATTATCTATCCTCATAATATTGTAATATGTATTCTGCTAGCGACTTTATTTGATAGCTTTATAAAGTTTCGAGAATATAAAATATAAAATACTTGTATATAAAAAAATAAATATATAACAAGTACTGTTATACTCTACAACACAATTATAAAGACTTATGCTAATTGTAAGAAATAATAAATATTACATGAAAAAGGCTTTGTATTTCTTCCGAGTGTTGATAAAATGTTTTTTAACCTTATACCAATATCCTTATTCCAAATATACCATATTTTATTGATTGATTCCAAAATTATATAAAATTGTGATAAGAGCAACGCGAGATTAATGACTAGTAATTTTCACTTAACTTGCTACCTAGTTTTATAATATACAACATATGCACATATTATTTTTATAAACTAAAGTGTCAGTTAAATATTTATAATTGTGAGATGCAATAAGATAACTCTAATTATATTCCTATTGTTTACAAGTAAATTGACAATATCCGTCATTTAGTACCTGATTCAACGATGTCCGATATTCCGTGTACAATCTAACGGTGTCCACTACTCCGTATACGATCGAACGGTGTCCAATATTTCGTGTACAATGGAACGGTGTCCAATATTTCGTGTACAATTAACCGGTGTCCAATATTCCGTGTACAATCGAACGGTGTCCAATATTTCGTGTACAATCGAACGGTGTCCAATATTCCGTGTACGATTAAACGGTGTTCAATATTCGGTGTACAATCGAACGGTGACCAATATTTCGTGTACAATCGAACGATGTCCAATATTCCGTGTACGATTAAACAGTATCCAAACAAACGGCGTCCAATATTCCGTGTACGATCGAACGGTGTCCAAATGAACGGTATCCAATATTACGTGTACGATTAAACGGTGTCTAATGTTTCGTGTACGATTAAACGGTGCCCAATATTCCGTGTACAATCGAACCGTGTTCAATATTCCGTGTACGATTGGACGGTGTCCAATATTTCGTGTGCGATTGAACGGTGTCCAATATTCGGTGTACAATCGAACGGTGTCCAATATTTTGGGTACAATCGAACGGTGTCCAATGTTCCGTGTACGATTGAACGGTGTCCAATATTTCGTGTACGATCGAACGGTGTCCAAATGAACGGTGTCCAATATCACGTGTACGATTGAACGGTGTCCAATGTTCCGTGTACGATTGAACGGTGCCCAATATTCCGTGTACGATTGAACGGTGTCCAAATAAACGGTGTCCAATATTTCTGTGTACAATTGAACGATGTCCAATATTCCGTGTACGATTGAACGGTGTCCAATATTCTGTGTACAATTGAACGGTGGTTCGAAAATAATTTTCTGTGTGTCCAAATGAACAGTGTCCAAATGAACAGTGTCTGAATGAACGGTGTCCAAAAGAACCGTATGCAATATAACGTGTCTATTTGCAACGTGCCCATTTGCAACGTGTCCAATTGTACCGTGTCCAAATGAAAGCCACTCCGTTGAACTGCGTAAACTCAAAGTACAATTCTACAAGCCGATTTACGTGGGTATGTGCATACTCGACGTATCGAAAGTCTGCCTGTACGAATTTCACCACGAGTACATGTTGCCGCTGTACCGCGACAAGTGCAAGGTCATGTACACCGACA